CATGACATTATTATTCATTACTAAACCTTACATGTTTTGTTCCGAAAAAAATATTTTATTGATAGTCTATGGCCTATAAATATTAAATATTTAAATACATAGGTAATCATAATTTTTTAAATATTATGAAGTCGGCAAATTTAATCAGTTGCCCCACCTTTTCAAAAGTTGAAATGACGACTCTAAATTTGGATGATATAATGAGATTCGTTGAACTATTCAAATATTCTGAATTTTTATTAGGTAAACTATTTTATAGTTTTTGTGTTGTTTACAAATATTTACTATACAGTTTTAAATTATAAATTAGCATTATATTGATACTACAATAATAGTTTTAACTGTTAATAATTTAATATTTTCTTCTTCTTTTTAGTTTTGGCTTTTAAGACCATACTACTAATCATTCATTTTTTCTTGGAAATCTCATTAACAATATTCTGTTTCTGAAAAATCGGTTGGAGTTCCTCATTATGTAGTTTTTTTCATTATTTGGTTTCATTGTAGAATACTGGGCCGCATATTTACTGAAGCACTTTTCTTTTAAATATCATTAATCTCAATTCTGCATTTCTTAACGCAAACGTTTCAGTGCTACATAGAGCAATTGGCCTTAGTAATTTCATGCACTTCTTTAATTTTATGTTTTTGGATAAGGTCTTTGATTTTAGAACATTTTTTTAACCTAAAAATTCTTTATTTGTGTGTTTATCCTTAATTATATCTCCGTTTTAATATCATTATCATGAATTATAATCGTCCCCAAGTATTTAAATTGTGACACTATTTTTAAGCTATATTCTTCTATTTTGATATATTCTTGACAACATTGTCGCATTTAGATAATTTGCACCCCAGGACAAAAACAAATTGGCGCCCCTAACAGCAGCTTCCACATAGGGAGATATATCCCTATGACCTCTTTAGATTTTGAAGAACTAAGCAAAGAATGTATTGGTCCTGCAATGATGTGAATTCTATTATAAAAAATATATAGTTTTATAATTTAGTGAACACCCCCTTCTCTTTAGAGAAAAAATTGAATGTACCCTAGGAATTCTATATTGTATTTCATATTTTTTTATTTAATTTTTAAATTTTAAATGAGAATATCTACGTTAAGTAGGTAATTATATTGTATCAACAAAATATATTAATAATCTTTATTAAAAAAAATGTCTAATACAATTTTTTTTTTTTTTTACTAGTAATATTTAAAATTATATATGGATTCAATATTATTTAGTATTACAATTTATTTATTAAAATATTAATATATTATTAATTAGCATATGAAAGATATCGAATTGCTAATTATTTATTTTGTTGTAGGTATTAATTTGAAGAATTAAACATGACTTTTAATCTATAATAAATATACATTATAAGTTTATAAGAGCTGATATATAAATGTTACTTAGAACTTTTATATGAAATGTCACTTTATATTTAATTTTTAATTAGGTATATTAACATGATTCCCAATTCTTTTTAAAATCATAGGTACTAAAAATTACTTTAAAATTAAAAATAAATAATTGATTAAATTATAACTTTTTATTTGAAGAACAATATGTCCTTACCCCAACTCTCATTGTTGCCGCCTATGTAAATATAGTAAATATGTTATATTTATGACTTATAATGTCACGCATTAAAAAAAAAAAAAAAATTTAAATCCATGAAGTAGGCCTCACATGCCTTGCTTGTACATAAAAATGTATGTATAAATGTATTTATTTATTTATTTAAATACATTATACCTATTATTCATGATATAAGTTGTTTAATTTTGTTGTTGTTTTACATATTTTGGTAGTTCATTGATTTTGTTTTTACAATAATAATATTGTAAACCAATTTAAATTTTATAGGTTTTAATAATTCATTATACATATAAATATATTTCAGTGAACACATTTTCGACCACCTTAAAAATTTGGTGCCTCCAAAATGTTGGCGCTGGAGCGGTTGTGATTATTGCCCTCACTTAAATGCGGCTCTGCTTGTCCAAAGTTCCTATTTCTTCAGCTAACCATTTAGTATTCTGTTTTATCATTGTTAACTATTAGTCCTACTTTTTTGCCGTAATTATTAGTTTATTTCTTAAACATTTTATCATATCTAAGTCTTCTCCAAGGATGGTGTTATCGTCTGCATATTCTAAATATTTTATTGTAATCTGACCTAGAGTAACTCCTTCTAAACCGCTCATCTATGGAAAAACATTCTCCTATACTAAATTTAATTTAATATTTAATTGATGAAATCAAAATCCTAAAATTATACTAAACACTAATATAGTCTATGGTTATATTAATTTTTTTTTGGATACAAACCTATTTTCTATTCTTTAGCACAGTTTTTTTAATTATAATAGAACTTTAGAATAGTTTTTTAGTTTTTATAGTATACTAATGGTAAATTAATTTCATATTTATAAGAATAATTTATCTATACCCATTGATTATAATCAATGTATAAATTAGTTTCGGCTTATAACATGTTTGGTGTTCATTAAGTGAATTTCCTAGATATTTCTCATTTTTTAAAATTTAAGCCAGCTAGAAACTGACAATTTCATTTCCTAATTGTAGCTTAAAAATGTTATTTATAAATATATTATACTTATAAAAGATCATAAAATGGCTGTATGACATAAGCGCCAAAATTAATATTTTATATAAATAGGTAGTTATTTAAAAATTGCTATATCTTATAAAAATTATATTATATATTATATTGATATTATTATGTCTGTAATAAATTATAAAATTATATAATATTATAATGTATAAATTGGTTAATTTTTTAATCCCACTTTTTTCACGTATTCTGTATGATTTATTTCACCATCCTGGTATTTCTTCCACTGAACATTATTTCTTCGTGAGATATCTTTAATTTATTGATACGAGGAGAGTTTATAAATAAATATGTTTCGCTTTGTAATTTTAATAATACATCAATTACTATATGAACGTAAAAATGAGCCACATAAAGTTGATCTTTTAAATGTCGATGATATGATTCAGCTGCATTTGTAGTTCGTATAACCTTATTATCCGGAATTTCAGTCCAAATTAATATCTGTTATTTAACCGAGGCTCACAGGTACCTACGATTTTTGCGCTTTCGTACGATACGATTTTGGCGCTTTTGTACGATACGACTTTTTTTTTCTTATCTCATTTTGGTACTTATGTATTTCACCGCATAAAATACTATCAGCATTGTTAATTTATTATATAATAAATATAAAATGATAATGCCTATTATCATTTTTATATAATTTTATATAATAATATATATTATTATTAATAAGTTAATCATATAAACTATATAGAGGCGTCCATTGAGGGAGGTGTAGCGAGCTTCGACTTGATAGGGTTGAGCTCGTACGATTATTTAATGACGGAGATCCCGTTGTTGATTGGTAGATGGAAAACGTCAGGGGTTGAGACAAAATACACGAACGTTAAATGAATGTAAGACTTTATTAAATTAACTAAAAAGTACAATGAAAACTAACTTTAAATCTAAGGTAATCTATGATTCGGCCGCAAGGAGTGAAACATAGACTACGTGTTGAGGCGAAGACACAAGTTAGTTCTGCCTTAGTATACAAACGTATCCTTATATATGCTAGTGTTACTCTTACGTTACGTGCTTCTGGAAGGTTGACAATAAGGAAAACGGAAATACCATAAGGAAACAGGAAAAAAAGACTCATGGGTGCCGAGGTCTCCATGACCTCGGTTAGTCTATAAGGTATTACCTTCGACGTGCTCGCACTACCCAAAGGTTTCGTAACCCGGATAGGATTACTATGCTTACAGTCGACGTGTTTGTAATACCTATGGGATTACTACAGAGGGAACAAGATAGGGATATGTGCCCCATTTCCGTGTTTTTATATATTTATACAAGACATATAATTATTAATTTATATTAAATTTATTTTGTTAGCCAATCTCTCATGAATAAAACTCTACCTCGAGAAAATGAATTCTAGGAATCATAGATAATAATAATAAATCTATCGATAACGTTTGCCGAGACACCGAACACACATGTCCCCATAGAGCTGCAACACGATTGCGCCCAGATCCCTTTTTACCTGATGAAATCGCAACACTATTGCGCACCAAATAATAATTTATGTACAACATAAAATAATGTATACAATACTCGTACATACTTTCTACATATAATTTTCATATACACTCAGTGCCGGATTAAACATTTGTGGGCCCCTAGGCTATTACAATTTTGGTAATTATGATAAATATTAACAAGAACCTATTTACCACCAATTTTACCAATTTTTTTTTATTATTATTACTGCATATAACACCTACAACTTAATATATAATTTATATAATAATATTATTTTATATATTATATATATGACCTAACCTGTAGCCCACTAGGCACATCCCTACATACGCCACTGGTGTTAATTATAGTAGTTATATCTACCGACACCCATATATATCAGTGTTTAATTTGTATATTTTATGATTAGATTTCCCTAAGTCAAACTAGGATATCGATTATTATCATGGTATTTAGCTATTTAATTTATTTTGTCCTGTTACTTTTATACACTTTTATTATACTTATATCTTTATCTATTTCAATTTTAAATTGTTGTTTTTAAATTAAACTGATTTTTGTTTTAAATTGGTGTACAAAATTACTATGATGAGTATTGTTTATAGATTTTATATATGAGTGGATATGAGTATGTATATGTGTAATGTATAGTATTGTATTATAGAATACTCTTATTGGAATCACAAGCTTGTTCACTAGCTTGAATATACAAGTATGTCTAGATGATCATATAATTAATTTCCTAAATATTTTTAATGATTTTTTATATAATATACGATACTATGTAATCCTTAAATGTGTTATGAATGATGTAATTTTATATTTATTTTTCATATATGAAAGAACCCCTGATATACATATATATTTTTTTTATAAAACAGGTGAAACAAATTATGGAAGAAGCTGTAACCAGGAAATTTGTACATGAAGAAAGTGGCTCGATAACATCTCTTTGCGGTAGTGTATAAATATTTTTACCATATAATTTTTCGTGAAAATATAATAATTTTACAGAATTATAAGTATTATTTGATTTTGTATAAATATAAAATATAGAAGTACCTTGAAATCAAATAAGTGAAATATAGTAAAATATTTATACTTTAAAATACAAATTAACTTATGGAAATGTTGCATGTTCATCATCCACAACTAAATGTAAAATAAAAATTTCGAGCTATTCGCATTCATAAATAGAACAAACAAAATTTTAAATAATTATATGACGAATTATCCAAAAATAACTTTACAATCTTAACATTTACGATTTTCAATTTAAGTTCAAAAATTGTTTAATGATTTTTAATATATCGACATCAGATTTATCAAATATTATCTACATGTACTATCAAAAATTACGTTTTTTCTTACTTTTTATGAACACTTTAAAATATAGATACGAGGTCTGACAATAAAGTAATGAGACTAATTGAAAAAATCACATATACTTAAAAATTAGGGCACATCGATATGGTCTCCTTCGAAGTATTCTCTTTGGGCAGCTATACATTGAGTCCAATGCTTTTTCCAGTTTTCATAAGATTTCTGGAAGTCATTAACTGGAAGCTCCTGGAGTACCCTCGTCACAGACGTTTGTATGTCTTTTACCGAATCAAAATGTGTTTTTTTTATGACTTGTTTAATTCGAGAGAATAGAAAAAAGTCATACGGAGACATATCCGGGGAATATGGTGGCTGGGGCAATACTGTAATATTTTTTGAGGTCGAAAATTGCGTCACACTGAAAGCACGATGACAAGGCGTATTGTCATGGTGAAGGATCCATGTGTTTGCGATGTCTGGACGGACTCTAACGATTCTTTTTCGCAACCGTTCGAGTACTTCGATATAGAACTGTTGATTAATGGTCTGACCAGGTGACAAAAATTCCTTATGCTCCAACCCATTGCTGTCAAAGAAGCAAATCATCATTGTTTTGACTTTTGATTTACTCATTCTTGCAATTTTTGGTCTTGCTGAGCCTGGAGACAGCCATTGTTGGCTTTTTCGCTTTGTTTCTGGATCATATTGAAAGAACAAATTCTTGTCTTTAGTAACTACACGTTCCAAAAGTTTTGAATCATTTTCTAGCTGTTTAAGACAGTCCTGTGTGACAGTCATTCACATATGTTTTTGTTCCTCTGAAAGATTTTTTTGGAACCATTTTCGCACTAAGCTTTTTCATGCTCAAATCTTCAATCAAAATCTTTCTAACTGTTTCACGGTTAATGTTTAACTCATCAGACAACATTCAAATAGTTAGCCGCCTATCTTGACGCACAAGTGCCCGCACCCGCTGAACGTTGTTGTCAGTTCGAACTTCAGCTGCCCTTCCACTTCGCGGCTCATCTCCGACGCTTTCACGACCATTTTTAAATTCTTTGTGCCACCGGAATACCTGTGCACGACTCATGGCTTCATCACCGAACACTTTAACTATTTTATCAAATGTTTCCTTTGCAGATTCGCCGAGTTTAACACAAAATTTGATCGCGTACCGTTGCTCGATATTATATCGTTCCATTTTCGTGACACGCACTAACATAAATGAAACGATACTAACGGTGAAATAATGACTGTACAGATATTCCAAATACATCTATAAATAGATTTAGATTTAGAGATTAAGGACCCGAAGTTTCAGATTCGCAGTGCTGCCACAAGCACGGCGAAAAAATCAGTCTCATTACTTTATTGTCAGATCTCGTACATTCAATATAAGTACTGCATACTGTTTATAAAATAAACATGTACCTAGTAAATTAATGTATTTTAATTCCAACTATTTATAATGATCATTAACCTCCAAAATATGCGGGTAGTTATACTACGTTTGGTATCCAAACGTATCCAGAAATCGACAAATAAATAAAGTTAGTTCATTACATTTTCTCGTAACTTAAATTATTTTCCTTAACTATTTTTAATATTTTTAATGTATATACTTAAACGCATAATACAATTTTATATTTGTGAAATATTAAATCAGTCAAAAAAACTCAGTAAACTGTATTAATGGTATACAATTGATGACCCCGAAGTAACATATTCATTTTTTTTAAAATTTTCAGGAGGAACAAAAAACTGTTTTAAAAATGTTGGAAATGTGTTTTTAAATACTCAAAAAAATTTTAGTAATGGCTTAGAGATGTCTTGTTATTGCACCATAAAATTATTTTTTTACTTTAATGTATAAAAATAATATAATTATATGAAAAAAGTGTTCTTACTTATAACATTGTATAAATTGTATATTATATAATTATTTACTTGTAAGGATGTAGTAAGTCATACTAGTTATTAGTAAGTGTTTTTGACTGTCTATTAATTTTTTATTTTATTGTCTCATAAAAAGTAATTTATATGGTACCTAATACATTAAAAAAATGTATTATTTTAGAATATATTGTTTTTTATGTCGAAGTAAAACAAAATATTAACTATTTAAATTTCATAAAAATATAAACCAAAAGTTATAGTTTTCTTATTTCAAATTTATCTTAATCAAATTAATTATTTTTACCTACTGACTATAACCTATTTTCCTTGCACGTCTCATCGTATGTTTTCAATCATAATGCCTCTCATCAGTGATGTATTCAGAGTAGCCTAAAAAGTCTTAAATATTTTCCCACATGCTTGCACATATAAATAAATGTTTATATTTTGTTTATTTTTTTTTTTTTTTTAGCGGCTGTTGAAGCATGCCTGTCACAAGGACTACGGCGAAGAGCATTAGGTTTGTTTAAAACTAGTTCAACAACAGCACTATTGCACAAAATGGCGAAAAATTTTGAACCAGCTTCCATAATTAGTCTAAAAGTTCAAGAAATGGAAAATTCCGACCCAAATAGGTAAATTTTTAATTAAAGATTTTTATTACTTTGAAAAAATGAAGTATTTTTAGACACTGAACATTTAGGAAATAGGTTTAATAAAAATCAACGTTTTTCTGCTTGTAATAAAACCTATAAAATTAAATGTTTCATTATTTTGTGTGCATTAAAGTTGAATAATATATTTAATATGTATAAATCTGTCTTTATCGTTTATAATTATAGAAGTACGTTGCATATTTATAATTCTATAAGATGGTTAGTAAATTTTGAAAGGATTATTCTTGTTTAATTTATAATTTTATCAGTATAATATGTGTATATATATTTAATATAGAATTAATTCATTAAGAACGTACAATTGCAGTAGTAATACATTATAAGACATTTTTTGTGTTAGAAAATATATTCATAATAATCATAACTATATTTTACGAATTTACTGTTGTCGATTTTATAAATAATTATCCATAATTATGACTAATGCGGTATGCAGTTATGATAAGATATTTACAATTATTATTTAATTATCAAGTGGACTACTTATACCTTCTCATAATCTTAACTATATAGGTATGTATAATATTTTTTTTTATTATTATTCGATTTATGCAATCATTAAGATCACTATAATGTATTTATAAATTATACTTTCCGTTTTCATAAAAAAGTTTTCATTAATTTTTGATTTCATCTATTATTAAAGCTGATTTACACGTATATTCCTGTAAATTGTTTTAATTAAATAAATTGTCTTATTATGCGAATCCAAATTTTATTTTTAATTAATTTATATTCATTATTAATAAAGCCTAACCATCAAAATATTATCAACCATATTTAGTACATATTTACCAAATATAGCTTTGAATATAGAATATTACATAATTTGGTAACATTAATAATTCAGATATCATAATATTTATCATTTCGTTCACTTGAAAACGGATGTTGTTACAAAATAAATACTTCATGGATATGATATATGGATTGGAATGGTTGGATGAAAACTAAGAAAGTACTTGTCTGCTAAACAAACTAAAATTGCATTATTATTTAGTTTTATAAATTATAGATTAATTATTGTATTCGAATAACGAGTCTGAGAGAAGGTCAGTTTTTTTGTCGATATTATAATAATTATAAATACTTAATGTTTATTTATTATGTTAAAATAAATTATATTTAAAAATATTCAATTTTATTAAATAAAGTGATGAAAATATAAAACTAATCTTTTTTAAATTATTTTCTTGGCTTTTGGATACATAAAACTGAAAAATGTGTTTAAATAAAATTGTATCCAATGCCGGTATAAATATAAATGTATGTATCGTATTATAATAAAAAATTAAAAATAATGCCATTATGAAATTAAAAAATTTAGGTTAAAATATACTCGATTTTTTAAATAAAAAATAAAAGCTTTGACCCGTATGGCATATTATAATATGATTTATTGTATTTATTAATCAGTTTTTTTTAAATCAAATAACTTAAATAATCTAAAAAAATACTTGCGTGTGTCATTCTATATTTTAAAATTAGTATAGAAAAAATGTTTTTATATCGTAAATGATAAAATCCACAGAAAACATAAAATCAAAAAAATCTACATACCCAATTACATTTTGATTGTTGGTTGTAAATCAACTGCATTTACTCTTCTACTTAGAATTTGGATATTTTATAACCAATCATAAATAACTTCAAAAAATATTACTCTGAATAGTTTTTATAAAATTCGAACTAATGGTACTTATAGACAGGTAGAATTATGAATTAAAATTGAGGGGAGCAGTCAAAAACATAAATTCATATTCATATAAGCATTAGCATTAAGTGTTTATAGTGAATAATATATTCATATTTGCATACATGATACATAATTTTAAATCAATAATAATAACAAACTTGAAAATATACTTAGAATAGGAGACAGCGTATCCACACCTAGAATTCACAGAAGAGTAAGATAAGGTTGTTCTTTGTCACCCTATTTATTCAATATATTCATAAAAGTAGTTTTTTCAAGAATTCAAAATCAAAGCTAAATGTGTAAAAATCGCTGTACATGAATTGCGTTCCAACATAAAAACATTAATTTCCTTCCCTTTCATACAGACTTAGGACTGTCGATAACAAATTATGACTATCGGAGGTTAAAAATATTGATTTTTATCGTTGTTATGCAATTATATGTAATTAAAATGAAACGTATAGGTTTAAATTATAGGAATGTAATATAGTAATTAAAATAAACAGTAAGAAAAAAAGTTAAAATTATAAAATTAAAATATTAAAAAACTAGTAAAAACTTGAATGATACCTTCTTAATATAATCAAGACGGGTCAATTGGCCACTTTCATATTTTGCCATATTTTGTCTTAAATAATCTTCTTTTTCACATATCATCATCCGGCTATTTTGTATTGTTTTAGTTTATATTTTAGTTAGAGTTTGATAGTTAAGTTGATTTGTGTTAAAAGCCATACGAAATAAATAAAATCCGTCTGTTTAAATTACATGAATACTTCGTTGTTTAATTTGTTTCTTTTGGTACATTTTTAAAACATCTATAAATTGGAATATATTCGGGTGTGCTGAGTAAAACATTCTGTTAAACTTGGAGTGAAAGACCATAACTATCCGTAGTTCGAATTATAGAGCATGAATACATTCCCCACACAGAAGGTGAGAAGTCACAATCAGGCTTTATGTATGTATTTAATATATAATCAGAAAATTGCTGTACTTTTTCATCCTCGGATAAAATTGATACAATATCATCCGTAAAACAATCTTCCATTTCATCTGGTTTTAAAAATGGGACCAAAAAAATATTTTATGAAAATACTGATATCTGACATTTTTTTTGTATTCTTGACTTAAACCAACCGTTTGAATTTTCCTCCACCAACTTTAACCTAAATGAAACCTACATACTTTCATTTGAATTAACGGCCAAACTAAAATTATTATATGCTTTAAAGCACGTTCATCGTAAATGTAATCGTTTAAACAAACTCGGATGCAATTCATGTAGCAGATTAGATAAGGCTGGACGCAAATCTTATACTCGCATATTAAATTTTTTATTTCGGGACGTAAATCGTGTGTAACTGTAAAAATAAATGGAAAGGTAATCCTTATATAACATTTGCTGATGACATTGCTATGGTAACAGAGATAGAAAATGATATGCAGCAATCACTAGCTACATTAAATGAAATATTAAAACGATACCTTATAAAGATCAATGTAAGAAAAACAAAAGTTATGGTGGTAAGTAAGGAGAGCAGTCCTCATTGTTAACGTACAATTGGATAACAAAAAAATTTATCAGGTACAACAATATACATATTTAGAAAGTATACTAACGAGTGACAGATGTTTGGTGGAAATAAGACGCCGTAGCCATATCAAAGAGAGCCTTCTCACAAAAAAAACAGCTACTTACAAACAAAATCTTAGTCTTAGGATCAGAAAAAACTTATCCAAAAGCTACGTATAGACTGTTTTGCTATATGGTAGTGTAACTTGGACTTTAACTGCACAAGATAAGAAAAAAATCGAAACAATGAAAAAAATGGACCTGGAGATGATTACTTCTTATTAGTTGAATTGAAAGGAAGAGTAACGAAGAAATCCTTCAAATAGTAAAGGAGAAGATAATTTTGGTGTCCATTATTAAATCAAGAAACGGAAAACTTATAGGACACTTAATGACACATAATCTCTTCATAACCTACATAATAGAAAGAAGAATCAGTTAGAGATGTAATGTACATATATTCGAATAATCAAATTAGTCGAATATTGTAATTCAAATAGGTTCACCGTAAATAATTCGAATATTCGATTACTCGACCATTCGAATATCACTATTCGATGCTACAAAACCTTATTTGTTTTATCCGTTTTTCCATGACAAGCTTTTTATACTATTTATTATTAATAAGTAATCCATATATACACAATTAAAGACAGTGGCGGCATAAGGGTGCAGTTGCACCCACGACAATTTTTCTAGGAGGGCAAAAGTATCATTTTGTACCCACAGACAACAGTCAAAAATATTATATTATATTTTAGTTATTGAATTGCAAATGCTAACAATAGTAATATAATGTAATTTTAATTATAATATATGTTACTAACAGTAATTGTTTTTTTATTATTATTTATGTTAATAAAAATAGGTTCCTTATATATTTATAAGTTATAACTAATATTTACAATTATATATTATACTAATTTAAATATATAATAAAGTTTTACATAAAGATTTTTTTTATTACTTTTGTAATAGTAGTAGTTAAATATTAGGTGACGTGGAAAAACCCCCCCCCCCCCCACCAACCGGTTTGTGAATCACCATAAACGTTAGCACCCACATGAGTTTCTACCAAGTGACGCTTATGACTAAAGATAATATATATTAATGATTAATCGATCTAAATACGAAAATAGTTCTTATCTTGCAGGTACTTGTTCGTAGTTAGTTTTATTTTACTCGTTGTAGACGTATATTTCAACATTGTGTCGTGCCGGGACCTAACGCTTTGCTTGTTGTAAGCAGTATCTCGTTTTAAGTGATAATCGCTATAGTGATTTATATTTTATATTGTATTAATAATAATTTAATTATGATATTCCAGTATTTTGCCCAATTTTTACTTTTGTACTTCAATTGCCATGTCAAATAGTAAATATCGCTGGATTCGAATCTACTTCTTGCAGGCCTTTATGCACCATAAGTCATATAATATTATTATTAAACGTTTTGTGTTGCGCGAAAACTTACAACGAATAATTTTCGTTGCGTATTGTATTGTAGCATCGAATATTGATATTCGAATGGTCGAATATTCAATTATTGGAATATTCGAATTATTTAACCAAGGATAAGCCTATTAGAATTCGAATACTCGAATAATTCTCATCACTACTAATTACCATTCTTTAGTCTTATAGTGTATCTCAAACTTTAGTATTTACTACACTGGTTTCCCACACTGGGGGGCGTGTATACATTGCTGGGGAGGCATGAGCAGCTATTACGAAGTACAATTTTTATTTTAAAATGTTGAGAAAAATTTAATTTACTAGTTATCTTTATTCGTTATCGGGTATCAATAATGGATAACCGATGAAGACTAAAGTGTTTGGCTGCAACTTGTAACATAATTGTTTTGTACAATGTTATCTGTAAATTAATAGGTACGATAAAAGGATGTCAGGGGTATAAGCTATTAGATTAGTTTAGACTCGATTTAATTTCGTTTTGCAGTTGCAAAGTGCATGTAGTATCGTAGTACGTAGTCGTTACGAGTGTATGTAAGTAAAAATAATGGTTCCACAGTTTTTTTTCGTGTCGAAATTTACATATTTTTACTTTACCTGCTATGCTTCGTGTGGGAATTTACCTACTATCCCATAAATGTTCGTAATGGGTAGTTAGTTCTCGAGTCTCCAGAAACATTAGGGAAATCGATGATATGTTCCAAATGTAGGTGAGGTGCAATGACTCGGTACGTGACAACTGTGTAAACACAAAAAGAAAACGATGAAAGAGATTATCAGATGACTTGTTGTAGAAATATAATTATTTAGTCAAGATTAGTTTAATGTAACCGAAGGTTAATGTAACTTTGGGAGAGTGGAGTCTTCTGTAGATTTATACGCATTATTATACGAAAATTATTGTAATGTTTTTTTACAATAAATGATAGTCAGCACTGATAAATAATGTGACGCACAAGCAAACTGTTAGCCCCTACTAATTGATACCACAAAAAAAAAAATATAGTTATCGAACATAAAAATATTGAGAGCCGCTATTAAAATGTATCTGCCTATGTATTTCGATATAATACCGTAAGTCTATGGGTTTAAAATTCTAAAATTGTCCAGCACGTTGCAAAACCTAAGAATAACTTGATGTAATTTTCAGTCAGCCGCCTGCTTTTGTACGATCCTGCCTTTCGAGGTCTTACTGTAATGTTTCTGTAACTGTTGTTTTTTGCATCCTTTGCTATTCCATCTCTTCTATCGTTATTTTCAGCTTCTACTATAAACACACTATTTTTTTAGTTCATAACGTCTCATTATCTTTATTCCTGTTAAGTAATTGCCGATGGATCCGTTTCAAAAACTTCCACTGGTAATTCTTTTTTTTATTCTTAGTCTTTCTATTTAACTTTTCTAATAACGTTCTCTTACCTACTTCGTCTTTTACAAATTAATGTTTTTTTATATATGTAGCCATTTTAAGTATTAAATCATTAGATATTCGTAATTTTGTTACTTGTTTAGATTCTCAACCATGTCTCATGAAATTAAATTTTTCCTATTTTATATCCGCTGTTTTCTATCTCATACTTCAAATCTGTTCGATTCTCCTCTCTTTTTTCTATCTTGGTTACACTATCCATTTTTTATGATCCCTAGCCAGTCAGGTATTCTAGGTAATGAAATTGTGAATAATCTTGCTACGTCATGTTTTTATTCTATTTAATAAATTCCTTTCTAAATTATGTGCTTTTAATAATATTCCTTATACTATTTCCCATATTTTTCAATCTTCTAATATTTTTCTCATACATGTAATAATCAATTTTTATTTCAAAAGGCTTCCTTTATAATTTTTTTTTCTTTATGTAACCACTGTAGCATATATGTTTTATTACATCTCTAAAAATAAATATACGTAGTTTTAATTAAATTGTATATATTAAAAGTTAAATTTTTAACAATCGTTTTATAAATTTTGAAATTCTACTAGGTTAGCTCAACATTTTTTTTTAACGTAATGATTTATTAATAATTTTAATTTCAACTATATCTCATGTGTTATATATTTTGTTTATTTGTGCGTACTATAATACTGGAAAACTCTAAAACTATGTCGTATCTAACTAAACAAATGCAGTGTTATAAAATAGCTAGGAAATTGGTATAAGTATCTAATACAATTAATTTTTACATTATATTTTATATAGTGGTGATAGCTGTACAACTAGAGCTGCATCTGTGAACAGTACACTGACTGGTAGTATAACTCTTCCAAATGTTCATCCACCACCGTTAACAAAAAAAAATTCAGCGGGTAGTGGTTTAGGCCCTTCATCTATTACTCTTCCAAAGTATTTGTGGATTCGCCTAGCATTGTTTGAAAAACTTTTGGCTGTGATAATTGATCATCTAGTTCAAAATTGCAGGTAAACAACTAAATTATTTTTTTTTTTTTCAAATTTTTTTCTTAAATGATAAAATATTAAAATGTATTTTAGCAAATATTACGAAAAAGATTCTTTAGTAGCAGATCCAGATTATGGGAGCATTTTAAGTTCTCTTCTTGGTAACTATGTGTGTGTGTGTGTGTGTGTGTGTGTGTGTGTGTGTGTGTGTGT